CGCATAAAGAATACCTAATTCCAACTTGGGCAATAACCAATTCGCGATGGAACGATAGATCTTCGCGACAATGGGTGATAACGCATTTGTATTTTCATCCTTAGTTGAGTATAAATGTAGATCTCTATGGGCCACAGCATCCACTTACCATCTGGTGAACTACTTACTCATTCGTCACTCTTATTCTGTTAAAAAAATATCTTTGATGTAAATTTTTTGTGTCAAACTCGTCTATCTTTTTTTACTAAATCTTATCACACAATCATCCGATGGATAATAAAGTTCTCACCCGCGGCTTATAAAACCGAAATCTATTGATGATAAATCAACGTGCAGAGACTCCTGTCTTGTTTTCACGAATTATAATGGATATATTATTATTATCAACTAGTCCACAACAGCTATGAAAGTTCAAAATACGAACCAATATTATAATGTAACAATAGAGACTTTTTGTTAAGAAGTCATTCGTGAAATCTACTCGAGAGATTGGTTTGCAAGATGTTGTGGCCAGAATTAAAAGAGTATGCCGTGGTGACTTGGACACGTGGAAATAATTAACGAGGAAAGAGTGCAAAGCAAATTAAGGCTGCAGAAGTGAGTGGCACAGTTGACGAAGGACGCCATAGAGGGAAGTTTTTCGACCAAATTAGCAATATAAATTGAAAACAGGCTAAGGATGTATGTATAGGGAAAAATTGTGCGTCTAATTGTATACACACGTAGGAAGTAAAAATTCTTTACGACATATCATATTTCTTTTATTGTATATTTTACATAAGAAGGGTAAATAATAGTAAACTCATGCCGCGTCGTCGTGACGTTTTTCAAGCGAAAATTTCTTTAGGCACGTTAGGCACTTTTGGAATGGGGAAAAGTACTGAACTTGCGTAACAGTCACGCTTCGATACATACAATTGATAAAAGTATGACGATCATTCTTTTTCATGTAAAACAGCGCAATATATGCAAATTTTATTAGTATATTAATACGTTGATAAAATAATTTCTAATAAAAAGTACTTCCTTTAAATATTTTTAACAACTCAAAAATATAAAGCTAAGAATTTTTTACTTCTGACGTGCAGTCCTACAACTGACAGTATTTTTACGGTACTAAATTCTCCACTACAGTATAATAAAGAAGTTTCACTTCAACCAGAGAGGTGTTTCAGAATCTTGTCAAATAAAAATAAGTAGCCTCTGTCAACTTCTCTGTGTGACGGGTTTGAGAGTTTATTAAGTATTTACAATATAATTCTACACGACCAACAAAACTCTAACATTTTGTAATTAAGACAAAGACTAAAGGTTAAAACTATATTATGTGAACATGCCCTTTTCTCATACCTAAACATATCTTGCGAACAAAGTGATATCATACCACGATCACTAAAATCTAGACTTTAACTCTAAGAAATAGAGACTAATTTCGATGTACATCCTGCGACTGCTACGAATCAATAATCTCCCGTAGGCCACGTAGCAAGGGACGTAGACAATTGAGGCTTGAAATATATATCTATCTTTTTCGCACAATACTTACTATCTTTATCGTTAACATTTCTATGTGAAAGTACTAGGAGAAAATGAATTTTCTTAGGATAACCAGACGGGAAGTTTTGTAGAGTTTCCATGACAATTCTTTCAAATTTTGCAACATTATTAAGGACGCGTTTACAAAATGGATAGGTATAGAATCGCACTACTACATTGACAAAAGTCACACACACACTAGTGTACGCACGGTTGGCTGTGGGAATCGTAGTCAAATGAAATTATTTTGATAATTTGAAAGATTGAATTTGTTTTTCATTTCTTATACCTACCTCAGAAATATACTTAAATAAAGAATTAAAAAAAAAAATAAAGAATTATACTTCGATACGAAATATGAATACCTGCTCCAAAGACTGCTTGGCACTGGAAGCCCTCTACTGGTAGTGAGATGTTAGCTCTGGACTTTGAACTGGTTTTGTCAGTTATAATAAGACCTTACCTACCTGCGGACTTGATGGAGTGACCTGAAGGTGTAATTTGGTGATTACAACAATAGGAACTCCTAGACTAGTGGAACTAGGTGTGCCGAGTTTGGGTTCGTTTTGTTGGTTATGATGAGACCTTACCACCGGACTTGATGGAGTGACCTGAAGGTGTAATTCGGTGATTACAAGTGGAACTCCTAGACTAGTAGAACTAGGTGTGCCGAGTTTGGGTTCGTTTTGTTAGTTATGATGAGACCTTACCACCAGACTTGATGGAGTGACCTGAAGGGGTAATTCAGTAACTACTGCTGGAATTTCTGAACGAGTAGAACTAGGTGTGCCGAATTTGGGCTCCGTTTTGTTAGTTATGACGAGTCCATACCTCCGGACTTGATGGAGTGACCTGAAGGTGTAAATCGGTGATTGCAACTGGAACTCCTAGACTGGTGGAACTAGGTGTGCCGAGTTTGGGTTCGTTTTGTAGGTTATGATGAGACCTTACCACCGGACATGATGGAGTGACCTGAAGGTATAGTTCGGTGATTACAAGTGGAACTTCTAGACTTGTAGGACTAGGTGTGCCGAGTTTGGGTTCGTTTTGTTAGTTATGATGAGACCTTACCACCAGACTTGATGGAGTGACCTGAAGGTATAGTTCGGTGATTACAAGTGGAACTTCTAGACTTGTAGGACTAGGTGTGCCGAGTTTGGGTTCGTTTTGTTAGTTATGATGAGACCTTACCACCAGACTTGATGGAGTGACCTGAAGGGGTAATTCAGTAACTACTGCTGGAATTTCTGAACCAGTAGAACTACGTGTGCCGAATTACACTCCATCAAGTCCGGTGGTAAGGTCTTATCGTAACTAACAAAACGAAACCAAACTCGTCACACCTAGTTCTACTAGTCTAGGAATTCCATTTGTAACCACCTGATTACACCTTCAGGTCACTCAATCAAGTCCGGTGGTAAGGTCTCATCGTAACTAACAAAACGAACCCAAACTCGGCACAGCTAGTTCTACAAGTCTAGGAGTTCCACTTGTAATCACTGAACTACACCTTCAGGTCACTCCATCAAGTCCGGAGGTATGGACTCTTCATAACTAACAAAACGAAGCCCAAATTCGGCACACCTAGTTCTACTCGTTCAGAAATTCCAGCAGTAGTTACTGAATTACCCCTTCAGGTCACTCTATCAAGTCCGGTGGTAAGGTCTCATCGTAACTAACAAAACGAACCCAAACTCGGCACACCTAGTTCTACCAGTCTAGGAGTTCCAGTTGCAATCGCCGATTTAGACCTTCAGGTCACTCCATCAAGTCCAGAGGTATAGACTCGTCATAACTAACAAAACGGAGCCCAAATTCGTCACCCCTAGTTTTACTCTGCAAGAAGTTCAAATAGCGGTCACGAAAGTACACCTTCAGGTCATGCCATCAAGTCCAGAGGTAAGGTCTCATCATAACCAACAAAACGAGCCCAAACTCGGCACACCTAGTTCCGCTCGTCCACGAGTTGCAGTAGTAGGTAAGTTTATATATCCTACTTATTTTTAGCTAAATAAAAACTGTGAGTATAAAAATAATAATTTTATCACTTGTCAAGTACCTATGTTTCCAATTTGTTTTTTTCTAATATTTTGTGTATGTACAGCGATCTTTTCAGAATGAGCCGCTGCAAACAGGCGATACAGTGTCCACTCACGACGGCGGTCGAGCGCGGACTGTGGTTTCATCGAAATCTTTGTACAATAAATCAAAGCAGGCACCAACAATAAAATAGCCCTTATTGCAATACATTATGATTCATCCATATTACCAAAATATGCGAAAAAATGTGCATCAGTTTTTATTTTTTTTACGACTATTAGTGACATTTTGTTAAAAAATAAACCCAGGGTTTTTTAATTGAATATGTCTGTCATCTTATAGTATTTTTTAAATTTTTTAAATATGTTGATAATAGACCAAAACATTTACCGAAACACAAGCCGGTATCGTTAATTTTGTAGAAAATGGCAACGAAAGTTCGTTTTTACAATATAAAAAACTACTATTTTCAACAAAAGAGTTACAGACATTTGCAGAAGAAGAACCAATCTATACATGGTAGTTTTTACTTATATTTGATTTGGTTTAGTTTTGTCACAAAATCTACCGAAAAACACCCTAATTTTGGTTGATTTGCAAACGCGTCCTTAATTCAATATTATAAAATATTTTTATTTCGTTTGTGCAATAGGTACATACTACAATACATATATACATATGGAGTCCGAACCTTAATTTAGATATACATAAAGCAAACCAAGTTTGACCCCTCAGAGACTTTATCATCAATTCTACTGATACATCATGATGGTTTTCTACGTCAGTTGATGAATAAAAGGATCGAAAAACCTTCCCCTTTGATTTTCAGAATATGCGATGTACGCTGCGCAAATAATGCGTTAGTTGTTATGTTTGTTAATGGGTAGCGGTGATCAAATAAATAAAAAACGTTCTATCTCGTAATTAAATTATAACTTTCTTATCAAGAATATTTACTAAACAAGTAGTAAAATTAAAAACATTCTACAACCGACTTCAATATAAATAAAATGAGAAAATTATTATTAAGGATACGTACGTGGTAGAGCCATGCTGCAATTATATTAGTAGTATAGTTGTAGCACGAATGGGTCGGCTCGACCGGGGAAGGACCACGCTCTCACAGAATACCAGCGTGAAATAGTAGCTTAATGCTGCTGTGTTACGTATGGTGAGTGTAGAGAACCGGAGACCCTTTTTACTGGAAACAAGGCATTCCATCTTAGTCCTCACGGGTGACAACGCATCTGCAATTTGATTTGTAATCGAGGATAGATGTAGATGTCTATGGGCCGCAGCAACCACTTACCATCAGATGGACTGTGTGCTCTTTTGTCACGCTTATCTTTAAAAAAAAGATTTTCGGTCTAAAGAGCTTAAACTAAAATTTGATATAATTTTTAGTAATCATTATTTTGTTTTAGATTTACTGAAGGGTTCGTGGATATAAGGGAGCGCGAGAGAAAAGTAAAAAGAGGCAGTCGGGAGCAGGGACGCCAGCTCATGAACCGACACAACAACGAGGCTGGCAGAAGGGTGAGGATATTTTATAAATATTGTGTTACTACATAGCTACTACATAGCATAGTTTTATATTGTCATTATAATATCCTCCTCAATGAATTTCGTTCCTGAATTTCGTTCTCGGTGACCAGTATCAACGGAGAATAGCCATCTGCGAAGGGCAGGATTATAGAGATATACGAGTAGAGATAGCACACACACGTGGTGTGCGCAACCACATGTACAATTTCCATTCCCTTACTCTTATAGTTGGAACCATAGAATAATATAATACACAATAGAATGGCTGTCAACTTTATTTGATACGCCAAACACGATTCGCTGTCGATGTCGCACGTGTTGACAGACTGAGTAAATTTACACATTTAGACTTTTGATTAATGTTCAAGATCATCATTACATTTCAATACATATTTATTTGTAAATAGGGTGCTATTTGGCATTTTCGAAATAATTTGCATGCGAAATTTTGAGACGATTGTAACGTCTAAACACATCTCGTGTTGACATTTATACGTGTGAATTGACGTGTTAGTGACATGTTGGTGGCTACGCGAACTCCGCCCACTCCCCCGTTCTATTATGTATGTATTATTGTATTCTGTGGTTGGAACGACAAGCACCTACGCGAAAATATGAGATAGCGGATATTTTTACACCGACACTACACGTTTTATTGTATTCATGTATTGTATGTAGATAGCCTTTGAACTTGATGTTTTGATTGCTACGAAATTTCTGTAAAGGTTAATATTTTCAACTTCAGTTAACACGACTGGAGGATATGATCGGCTTTCAGAGTCTAACTCCGGGCTGCTCCTGCTACTGAGTGTTTCTTGATAGAAGAGTCGTTCTTTTTTGTGTACCTTCCGGGCTTCGATTAAGAGAATTCCCTTAACCATGGTGGTCAATAGGGTAAAGAATTCTATTAAGCCGTATCTACATTACAAAATGTATCACACAAGAACCATACATGAGTACATAGTCCACCTAAAGTGGTTGCTGTGGCCCACACAATGCAGATGCGTGTTCCCTCCTGACGACTTTTTTTTATAGGTTAGGGTGACAAACGAGCACACAGTCCACCTGATGGTAAGTGGTTGTTGTGACCCATAGACATCTACATCTATCCTCGATTACGAATCAAAATGCAGATGCGTTGTCACTGAGGACTAAGATGGAATGCCTTGTTTCCAGCACAAAGTGTCTCCGGTTCTCTACACTCACCATACAAACACAGCAGCATTAAGCTACTATTTCACGCTGGTATTCTGTGAGAGCGTGGTCCATCCCCGGTCGAGCCGACCCATTCGTTCTACAACTACACTACTAATATAACTGCAGCATGGCTCTACCACGTTTTTTTTCGGTTTGGTTTTTTTTTTTGGTTGGATCGCCTCGTCCTTCCCCAATCGAGCTGACCCATCCTACAACCATAATATACCTACGTGGTGGCTCTATCACATATGAAGATCAACAACTACGTACGAAAATATTTTGATATATAATATTTTCTACCAGGCTGTCATTAAGAAGTCAAGGGTAACGTGCAAGTGCCATGGCGTTTCTGGTTCTTGCAGCCTTATCACTTGCTGGCAACAGCTGCCATCATTCAGAGAGATTGGTAAGTATTTTTTTTTCATGCAAACCATTTACGCATGTAAAGTAGAACATTTTCAATACACTAGTGGCCAGGTATGGGTAGCTGCCGCCAGAGGCCTCTAGATTCATTAATTCTGACCCTCATTTTTGTTTTTTTTAAATAGAATAGGGGTGATAAAGGATCACACACTCCACCTGGTGGTAAGTGGATGTTGTGGCCCATAGACATCTACATTTAACCTCGATTAAGAATTAAAATGCAGATGCGCTATCACCCCTGAGGATTAAGATGGAATGCCTCGATTCCAGTAAAACGGGTCCCCGGTTCTCTACACTCACCATACGAAACACAGCAGCATTAAGCTTCTATTTTACGCTGGTATTCTATGAGAGCGTGGTCCTTCCCTGGTTGAGATCCATTTTTTTTATTCAATATAGATTATAAACAATACTTATTGAAAGTCATTTTTTTTCATTTACCACTGGTTCGAAAAAAAACTCTGTCCTGAGAAGAACCAGCAAGAAACCCAGCGGGACAATTTTTTTTTTCAAATAATAGCTTACAATCATGTTTACAATTAACAACACAAGACAAATTAGAAATAGCTTGGTAGCGATCACCCTTCCCAGGGGTTATTATCATCCATAAATTCCTTTAATATTATAATAACCCTTTTTATACAAACTTAGTTTAATAACATTTTTGAACTTTCATGCTACAACTATAATATAGTTGCAGTGTAGCTCTGCCGTGTATAAAAATTATCTTATAATATAATAGATATAAAGTGTCTGAGAGATGACTACATATTTCTGCCATTTGCTGCAGAGACTGTCGATCCGTGGTAGGGTCCACGTGCAGTGAAGTTCCTAAACAGAACTATATTCGCGATTTGTGTTCACTGCTGGTACTTTTCTAAGTCAAAGGCTAAGTATATCCATTCAGCGAGGAAACGCAGCCTACTTTATTGTCACAAAACTGTGGAGAATAGGACTGTGTCATAATTCAAGTTTTTTTTTAATAGGAAAAGGGTGACAAACTAGCACACAGTCCACCTGATGATAAGTGGGTACTGCGGCCCATCGACATCTACATCTATCCTCGTTTGCGAATCAAAATGCAGATACGTTGTCAGCCTTGAGGTCTAAGATGGATTGCTTCTTTTCCAGTAAAAAGGGTCTCCGGTTCTCTACACTCACCAAACGAAACACAGCAGCATTAAGCTGCTACTTGACGCTGGTATTCTGTGAGAACGTGGTCGCTCCCCGGTCGAGCCGACCCATTCGTGCTAAAACTACACAATTAATATATAGCTGCGGCATGGCTCTACCACGTAAACTTAAGTTTTTAGTGTTATTTTATTTTTTAATAAACATTTTCCATTGTATGTTATGTAAATATATTAATTTAAGAAATACCTAATAATAATGATTTATTTTCTAAGCATTATATCTATACTTTAGTAGACTGTCGCCTAAGCTAGGTTTTACGTCTATATTTCATGACTTCAGGTCTACGCCCTTTGGTAGTTAGTAATTACAATACTTATTCTATAATCTCATGAACATAATGAGTGATTTTTTTACCGTCTGAAAAAAAATAGGGTGTAACAGGTGGACGGATTAGAAACCGATGACCGATGATGATATTTTACAACTTCTTTTTATTTTACATTAATATATTATGAAATTGATCTATCAATAAATAGTACTAATTTGATATAAACTTTCGGTGGTACTAAACAAAATAACAACAACATTCTTGAACTAAATAAACAAATCAATTAAAAAATATCGAAATTAAAATAATACATACCCAATGAGTATTTATTGGTAGTACAATTTTATAAAATATTAATGTAAAATTATAATATATATATATATATATATATATATTATATATTAGTATCCGGTTGACCGAGCTTTGCTCGATATTTTTCGCTCGATTTTTTTTTAATTTGTGTGTTTTGGAAATTATATTTAGATACAAATTACATACTGATGAAATATAAATAATATTTTTCGATCTTAGCGACATAGCAGAAAAAACGGAACTGGTTATTTGAATAAAAAATCATGAGTGCAATTATTTTAATTTTAATTTTCGTGTTTTTAAAAAATACTAAAAAAAGGGCTCGAAAAAATAGATTTTCTCAAAAAAGAAAGGAACTTGAAAAAAAATTATAAAAGTCGGTCGGTCTGGGCTCGAACTGGGGTTTTACGATTCTGTGACCGCCCATTATACCAATTAAGCTATTTATAATCATTAACAGTCTGTCAAAATTTACCTTCTTATTCTAACGATATTGTAGCAGTTTTTCATTGCCTAAAAACACGGACATAAAGACATTTTCTAAAAATAAATCCTAGCTAGATCGATTTTTTATCCCCGAAACTCCCTGGACACTAAATTTTATGAAAATCGTTGGAGCCGTTTCCGAGATCCCGATTATATATATATATATATATATATATATATATACAAGAATTGCTCGTTTAATAGTATAGGATATATATATATGTCAATGCCATAACATTGGTTGAAAATACTCACGTACTCGTAATTTAGCTAAAACTAAACTATCAAGGTACATCAGTACTCAATAGGTTCATAATTTTTATGTACTTATGTAGTAGGTAGCACTATAGTCGGATAAGTTATTTTTACCCCCACACTAGGATTTTCTCCTGTATCGTGGGAGCAGTTTACATACACAAATTTCACAAAGTCTAATATTAAGACCAGGTACAATTATTTGTAGTTCTTACAAATACATGTTCCGCGTGAGATTCGAACCCGCGGCCCTTAGCACTGCAACTTATTGCTAAGCCACTGCGTCACAGAGCCGTTACAATTTAAAAATGAATAATCGTCATCATCATCTCGTCCGAAAATTATGATAAGCACCTCTAATTTATTCAATAAGGGAGAATTTTGAGTTAAAAGTCTATAGCCTCAAAATAATTTAATTTAATGCAAATTTATTTCATTAAGTCAATAATTTAATTGATAAATTAAATATATAATTAGTATTGCATAACTTACAATAAATATTTTGAATTTAAATTTGGATTTGCATACAATTTTATTGAGAGTTGTTAATCTAGACCAACTGGAAATAATACCGTATTTATTATTAGAGCGTTCACAGAAAAAAAATTATTTCGTTCATTCGAAGACTGCATTAATTCGGAATATTATGATGATATTTTTTATTTTTATATAAACCGCAGTAAATTTCATACCTACGCAAGCAATCCAAATTCCCCGTAAACACCAAAGATTTTTTTCAAGAAAAAGATAACTGGTTATTTAATAAACATTTAAATTCATTAAATACGAACATTAAAAATTCGAAATTTGCCGAAAAGTTATCCAAATTCTGTAAAAAGTAGAAGTCTCTAGGCGCAAGGTCTGGTGCGTACGGCGGATGACGGAGAGGTTCCAACCCCAACTCTTGTAACTTTGAGACCGTCTGTTGTGCAGTATGAGTTCGCGCGTTGTTGTGTTAACCTAAGCTGGTTGGAGACGTGTGAGCTTCTCCATCATTGTGTTCAGTTCTTCAAAGTACACATCAGCAGTAATCCTCAACCCGTTGGTAAGAAGCTGTGATGAATCACACCGACGCTAAACCACCAAACTGTGACCATCACTTTGCTAGGGGTAAGTGTTCGTTTAGGGCATTGTTTAGGTGCTGAACCAGGATACAATTAACTTGCTGAGCGCTTGTCAAACAGAATTCACTTTTCTTCGCTGGTTCCAAATTCGTTCGTTTGTGTGTCTGTTGAGCAGTTAAAGGCGCGCCTCAACGCGTACTTCGCGCTGGCGCATTAAGTTTGTGGAGCACCCATTTGTCAAGCTTTTTATCCTGTCAATTTGACTCAAATGGACCAATATTGTTTTGATGCTAACGTCGAAAGTTTTTAATTCTTCTTTGTCGACCAAAATATTCGGACAACCACGGTGTTCAATTTGTCGAAATTTCTAGAACAGATTCGGGCAAACCAATAACAGGCACCACCTGTAAACTTACGTAAACTTCGTTGATGTTGGGTGCCGCTTGAGCCACATTGCTGCCACGACAGTACTCATCATGGAGGTTAGAGAGAAGGAGAACGATCGCTGTAGAAAATAGTGTCCCAGAAATATAGACAAAATAAGTGATGCGCTACGATCGCTAAGTTGTCTCAATAAAAGTCATTTTCAGTGTATTTTTTCGATCAGATATTAAAACACTTGCACATCCACGCACAATACAATATTTCACCATTGTTTAATATTTCTTTTTGTCAAAAACTAAAAAATTACGGAGCACGATTATTTTCTCACCAATGCCGCGAAGAAAATTTGTACATTATTCAACTAACTTCATCTACTTGTACTCATAAACAGCTCAAAAACAGCAAGCACTACGTAGCGATCGTTCTCCTTCTCTCTAACCTCCATGGTACTCATATTCCATGTTTTTAAAATAAAATTGATTTGAAATTAGAATTCTTATATAAACAAAAATAATTTTGATTTGAAACGGCCAGTACTGCAGAACGGCAATTTCATAGGTAAAGATCTATTAAGTTTTCCTGCAACCTTAGTTATTTCACAGAGGATAGTTCCTTACGCTAGCGAAATAAATAGGCTAAAATATAAAATATACTGACAATTTTTTAATCTGTTTTGCTTTAGCGTTTTTAATCAGATGATAAAAAAGTAAAATAGCGCTAATATTATCGATACTATGGATCGATAGGATTGTTGAACTGATTTTCCCTACGTAGCTATAATATAATATAGAGTACGTTAGGGTAATATGAGTAATATCGTCATCCGGTTAATATGGTTACTTTCTTATAATTCAAATACTACATTGCCTTGTTTGCATAGATGGCTTTGTGATACGATAGCTCTTCATCAGTCAATCAAATAATAAGGGGTCATAAGTGTGCTGCTTTATCGCCGCCATATTGACAGTTGACACTATAGTAAATAATTTAGTCGATTTTAGTATGGGGTAGTGTAGTTTG